CCAACTTACGTCGAACTTACCTTTACCTTACTACTAACTAACTTACTTCCTAAAACTAAACGGTAACGGGACGTACCGTCCTAAACTACGTACGTGCACGTACTCTCTCTCTCTCTCTCTCTCTCTCTCTCTCTCTCTCACACACACACACACACACACACACATGCACACACACACACATACACGCACACGCACACGCACACGCACACACACTTCTCTCTCTCACACACACTCTCTCTCTTTCTCTCTCTCTCGCTCTCTCTCTCTCACACACACACACAAAAGGATGTGAAAATCGGCCCCCCTTTTTCCTCTTTCTTTCTCCCTATAAAAGCATGGTGGGACAGATTTCCTCCCCCATCTTTTTCAATCACCCTCCTCCTCCCCTTCGCCCTCCCCCTCCCCCTCCCCCTATCTCTCTTCCCAGGTGCTATCTTTGACCCCCGACCTATTTCCCCATTTTTTCAATTTGTTTGCTTTCATTTTGTTTTTGTTCTTGGTTTTTACTTTTTTTTATGATGTGCAATACTTGGCTGAGTAACTTGGCTCGGACAGTGGCCGAATCCATGGCCGGAGCCAAGTTATTGAACACTGATTTCCAAAGTGATCAGCTCTACTTTCATTAATAATTAAAATGTTGTTTGTCATGTTTTCTGTATTTCTGTTTAACTAATCCATGTCACATCCTTATTTGAGAAACTGCCCTTTAGAAAATTATTGCTGAGTTATTGCAAAGGTTTTCTTCATTATGCTGCAAATTGTGGCAACATTGTATTATAAATATTAGCATGCTATCTGTTATTTACTGTAAGGATCTGGACTGTTTCAGCTGTACTTGGTATGTAAGAAACAATAAGATTGGATGCAATGATATGATGCCATCTAAGTGCAGTTTTTACTAACCTCAGTGCATTGCATATGGTTTTCTCAGTCAAATGTACAGAAGATGCACAACAATAGTTGGGAAAACAAATTCTGCCTTGGGAAGATAGCGGGGATTGGTTATGCTCCCATCCTTCTGTTTGTAATAATCTTCCTTACGATCCTATTCATCACTTCAGTCCTTGCATGTAGGTAGATCTGTTTGTGGAAATATCTTGTTTGTCATCTAATATATCTGTAATGGTTACAAATTCAATATTTCTAACTCCTATATCATCTTTTCCCAGCACCTACTTTTACAAAGGTAACTGCTTCTGTTGGATTATGGGGGTGGACTGCTGTTTCTATTGCAATTGGTGCACTTTTAATGTTCTATAGATGCAGCACGTAAGTCCTTTCTATTGCAATTGGTTCACTTTTAATGTTCTATAGATGCAGCACGTTTGTCCTAAATACCTTGTTATCTATCTATTTGTTGACAGCAACTTGAATGTTTGATGTTATTTATTTCAAGTTAGATGTCTTTGTGGTGGTTTTTTTTATATTTTCTATTATATACTAATGAGAAGCCCGGAACTGTAGTTATCTTTTTCTTTTCCTAGTGTTCGCATTACTTTTTTATGCTAGCCTTTGCGCAAAATCATGAATCTTCTGAAACACAGAAACCAGCTGTCTCAGGTGACTAGGCAGCACCTCGTGGTGGATCATAGGTGGGATGGAAGCCAAGGCACCTAGCCTAGGACAAGATGCCCCCCAAGGCGGCACCTTGTGCCTGAGCCAGGGTCCCTGCTTTGTTTGCCATGGCCTGAGGGTGCAAATTTCCCATGGGCCATGATAAAAAAAAAGTCATCCCCTCCTTTTAGGAGGTTAAAAAACATTTGGGGGTGGGGAAGGTGGTGTTTTTTAATCTCCCTAATGCTTTGTAACCCGATTTTTTGAGAGAAGAGAACGAAAAGAATCAATATCGATGATTTTTTAGATAAAAAAAATTGAAGAACTTTAATAGATCTTCTCGAATCCTTTTTTTTTGGGATAGGTATTTTCCAACTTTGGAAGTTTCCTTTGCAAAATTTTAAAGTTCAATTCAATCATGTGTATATATGTATTTTGGGCACACATGCACTTAAGCACACTTGCTCACACATACACATATATAAGTATGTTTGCAATACATATATATGCATAGGATTGTACACATATATGCGTATATGTACGTTTTGAGTGCACATGTATGTATTTATGTATGGGATACATATATGTGTATAGATTATGCATCCCTATGCATAAATGTACCTCAATGTGTGTGTGCGCATTTGGGGTGTGGGTGCCACCTAGCACCTTCTCTAACATTGCAAAGAAAGATTAATTTTATGAAAGGGAGATTGAGACCTGATCACAATCGTGAAAGATACATCTAAATTTAAGGATATCCAAAGAAATAAATTAATAACATATGTACAGTAACTCACAAATTTGGTGGTAAGAGTTATCTTTAACGAAACACGTGCTAAGGCACACATGTTGCTTTCACACTTACAGAGTAGTCCAGCAATTCCATGTGACTGGTGAGAAAGAGAGATTTATACCAATAATGGATCATCATCATCATCATCTAAACCATATCTCAATTATTTGGGGTCGGCTACATGAATCATGTTATTCCATTCTGTTCTAACAAGGGCAGTAAGACTATAAGTCCCCATATTTTTTCTCACTACTTCCATCCATGTCGTTTTGGGCCGTCCCCTTGCCTTTTTAGAATCTTCCACTTGAACCAAATCGTACCTCCTAATCAGTGCTGTATTGGGTCTGTGCTACACATGGCCAGCTCACCTATGTCTATTTTCCTTCATCTTGTCACTTATTGGGGCCACCCCTTAGTTCCCTCGAATATATTATTTTTGAATTCTATCCTTTGTTGTCTTGTCACTCATCCATCTCAACATTCTCATCTCTGCTACACTTTTCCAATGGGTATATGTTGTTTCTTGATCGCCTAACATTCTGTCCCATAAAGCAAAGCTGGTCTCACAGTTGTACTATATAACTTCGCCTTCAACTTCATTGGTATGCAGCAATCACATAATACTCCTATTGCACATCTCCACTTCGTCCACCCAGCTCTTATTCTATGTGCGACATCTTCCTCAATCTCTCCATTTTCTTGGATTATTGACCCAAGATATCGAAAATACTCTCTTTTAGGCAATTATTCACTATTAATCGTACTACTTCCTTGTTTCTACTTTTATTATTACGAAACTTGCATTCCATATATTTTGTCTTAGTCCGACTAATTTTAAAACCTTTATATTCTAGAGCATCTAACTTTGCATTGATGCCGCTTCTAATCTCATCAATTAAAACTGTCATCCACGATCAATACACAACGGTACCTCATCTTGTAGATGCCCAGTTAACTCATCCATAACTAAAATAAAGAAATATGGGCTCAATGTTGACCCTTTATATAGGCCTATTGTCACTGAAAACGTACTTGTCTCTCCACTAGTTGTTTGTACACTAGTTACTCTCCCTCATATACATCTCTCGCCATATCAATATAGCATCTGAAGACTCCTTTCTTTTCCATCACCCACCAAATTTAATCTTAGGTACCCTATAAGCTCTCTCTAAATCAATAAAGACCATGTGGAAGTCTTTTCCCTTCTTCCTAAACTTCTCAATTAGTTGCTTAAATAAGAAAATGGCCTCAATTGTTGACCTCATCATCATCATCATGAAATCCTTTTCTTAACTATTTTGGGTCGGCTACACGAATGTTGGTCTGTCATTTGTTCTATCAAGGGCTATACCCTGAGTGAGGCTAAGTCCCCATATCTTTTCTCACTACTTCCAACCATAGTCTTCCACTTGAACTATTGCACTTCCTAGTATTGGGTCTGCACCGGACATGGCCATCCCTCCTAAGTATACTTTCTCTCATCTTATTGCCTATTGAGGTCACACCTAAGTTTACCTGAATGTATTTATTTCGAAGTCTATCCCTTGTCTTGCCGCTCATCCATCTCCACATCCTTATCTCAGCTACACTCATCCCATAGGCATGTTGTTTCTTGGCTGCCCAACATTCTGTCCCATAAAGCAAAGTTGGTCTCATAGCTATCCTATAGAATTTCCCTTTTAGCTTCATTGGCATGCGGCGATCACATAAAACTTCTGGTGCACATCTCTACTTTACCCACTCAGCTCTAATTATATGTGCGACATCTTCATCAATTTCTTCATTTCCTTGGATTATTGACCCAAGATATCGAAAATGCGCTCATTTTGATATTTCTTGACTGCCAATATTAACTACTTCCTCGTCTCTACTGCAATTATTATTAAACTTGCATTATGTAGACCCTTGGTCGGACTAATTTTATGACGCTTAAATTCTAGAGCTTCCCTTCAAAGTTCTAACTTTTGTTGATGCCTCAATTGTTGACCTTCCTGGTATAAAACCAAATTTATTTTCTGAGACACTTGTTTTATGCCTTAGTCGTTTGATCAATCACTCTCTCCCACAACTTCATAGTTGATTCTTCGATAGTTCACACAATTCTGTATGTCTCCTTTATTCTTGTAATAGATAATGCAATGTTTTTCTTCCATTTGTCTGGCATTTTCTTTGTTCTCAACACCTTGTTGAACAACTTGGTAGCTAGCATATGCCAACGTCCCCATGCACTTCCAGACCTATATCGGGACACCATCTGATCCTAAAGCCTTTCATATCTTCATCCTCAAAGCTTCTTTCACTTCAAATGTCCTAATCATGCGAATGTATCTATCACCTCCGCCCACATTTATGCCAAAGGTTCATCTCATAGTTAAGGGAACCTTGTGGGTAGGGTGATGATCCCACTCCGAAACCTCGATCCCATGGTTCCTGCAAGGGATCTTGTAGGGACCCCGGTTTCTCGATTTTGGGATATCGCTCCCATAAAAAGGGGACCATGTTCCATCCATCAATGAAATCTAGTTCCATTTCGAAATAGATCCCTGCTCCCATCAACCATGGTCCAAGGTTTTGTACATTAAAATCTTGGGTTCCATGTTTGTAGGATCTACTTTCATTAACGAAATTATTTAGGAATCATAAGTTCCATGATGGTAAAATCCAGTCCCTTTTTCACATAGCACAAAGTTCCATTATTTTAGATTTTTAATTTGAACTATGCATAGTCTAGAGTGACCCATTGTTTTATTAAGTCCTGTTGTGTAAACCATCCCTCTTAGTTGTGAGATTATATATTTTATTTAAAATCTTATATTTATGATGTCCTATTGTTTTTTATTCTTAAATCACAATGATGAATCTTCTTAGTTGTGAGATGAGAATATATGCTTTCATTTCAAGCTTTAAAAAGCTTCTTTTACATCTGTGTGTGTGAGAGAGAGAATAGTTCATCTTGTCCTCTTGCCCCTTCAAAGAGCTAGCATTTGAGAAACAATGAAAGCAAAGGAGACTACATTCAAAGAAGATGACCTTTGAGTGGTAGGATTCTGGGTTGTTGGGGACTCCAAGAGAATGGTGCATGCCAAACTTGTGCCATGGCCTGAAGATGTAGTGGGAGGGACAGGCCTTGGTAATGGAGCACTCTGATGAGCCTCATCATCAACATCAAGGCGGTCTCCTAATGCTTCTAATGCCCCAACATCATTCTGGAGGTGGATGAAAATCCCATTCTTTGTACTTCTATACATAGTTTGATCGCAATCTACTTAACAATCTGTCATTATAGTGAACATAAACAAATGACTCGGAGTGTTGAGAATTTAACTTGTTCCGCTTAACACTATGAATATAACTATACATACTCAAGCACCTCTCAGCACATGACAAGTTGACACTCTGAGACAACACCTTAACAACTAGTAAATATAATTCAAGAACCCCACCACTATATAGAGCCCACCACAAAACAGCTGATATTGTTCCTTTGTCGGAAATGGATTCCGGGAGTAAAAAGACTCCATTATTACTTACAAATGCATCACCCTCTCACTCTCGTCTGGGTACAACCTCTCAAGCGCAGCAAGATAAGACACTGAAACTTGTTTATTGTGGTGCGGCTTTAGCCTCTTCTCCCTACCAGGAGTTGTCATAGTTAACCATTCCCAAGAGTGATACTTCGGACTTAAAACATATGCCAAACATAGTTAAGAATCTCGATATTAGAACAAAAGGAACCCCATTATATGACATACTTAAACTTTGATTCTTTAACCAAGGGAACTCGTACTAGCTCTACTTGACAAACTCATTTTTATGTATAGTGAAGCTTAGATTCCTACAAGTCAAAACGTTGAACCCATTGACATGGGGATCTCGCTCCCATAAACCTAAGGATCTCGTTCCTTGTCTTGTTCATTGTACAGACACCGATCCTAACCCCTAGGAGCTTCCACTATAGGGCGGTTCGGCAAATCTCGAATCGATCCCTCTTCCATCTCCAACAACTATGGTTCATCCTACCGATGTGTTCCCAATATGTGTCATTTAACAATTTTTGAAAATAAACTCTCCACCTTCCATTGACCTCGCCATCCTTCACCAAGACTCTTTGATCCTCATTCTTAATGCATTTAATACGGTCTAAGTCCCTACACTTCCTCTCTTTCATTTTTGTTAATTTGAAAACATCTTTGTCACCTTCCCTTGTTTCCAGTTTATTGCATAGATAATTACATGCCTTAAGTTCAGCCATACTATTATCTTAGCATTTTTATATTCTTATAAGTTTTTATCATTTCTATTATATATTAGAGATGGATCGATTTTATAAAAGAAAAAGGTTTAGTTCCATTGATAGCGACATAGAGAGAGAGAGATATTGGAGAAAGACAAAAACATATAACTTGGGAGTATTAAAGAGATTGGGATGGGTAGAGTGAGATAAAGAGAGACATGTGAGCATTTGGAGCATGATGTGATATTTATTGAAAAGATGTTGATAAAGAGAGATTTGTCAAGCAATGCTACATCTTAAGTTCAATTCCTACCATTGCACTACCCCAAAAAAAGAAAAATGTAGACAGAGAGATAAGGTTTGACAATCAAGGTAATTTTCCATTTAGGACTTTCTCTCCTTACCAATTGCATGCCGCTGACCCCTAAAAAAAGGGTAATTAGTGGCTGTAGTTTGTCCTTTGAATTGAACCAAGAAATGTATGCAACAGGCTTAGTGTATTGCATTCATAGAACTGAAACAAATTTCACCTATTCCCTTGGTGATCTTTAAACAAAGGAGTTCTATTTTTTAATTGCAATTTGAGTTTAGCTGCTCATATCGTTCACTGAGTGCATTGAAGTTCTAGGGGGATCTCGATTGATTGATTTTACTAGTTTAAGTTATCAAGGGAACACTAATATTCAGTTGGGATCGCACGTAATCAATCCTATGTACACTTTCCCCTATGTTGATATTAGCTATGGTACTCTTAAGTAGTGTCTTCCATATCTTTCAGAATTCTTCATTGACTATGTATGGAAATTGTGCATATTTTTATCCTTCTTCCTCTAAATGGTAAATATTAAAAACAATTTTAGAGTGAATTGTTATTTTCTGTGTTATGAAGCACACAGTGGCCACTCATTGATTAGAGTGTTTATGGGCTGCAGCGTCCAAGGTGTAGCCACCACCGCATACCTAACCCCGAAAGAAAAAAAAAAACGTCCAATATGTTTCTTTAGTTTCTTCTACACAAGTCCTCTTGTTTGAGATTTATCAAAAGAGAAGAAAAAAATTCAGGTTATGCTTAACCGCATTTACGTTTAACCTGGGTAATTTTCTGGGATGGTCGATACTTGTTTTCATCTGCAAAGGTATAATCCAGCAATGTGAACAGTTGTTTCTTTGCAGTGAGTTTAAAGAAATTTCATCTTGAGTCTACTGGTTCTGAGCTTTACCATCTGTTTGTATTCATTTTGTTTTTCCCTATAATTATTAAATTTTGGTAATTTTTTTGTCGAAGATAAAGGAATTTTTTGCTACAACCGCAGCTTCTTGCTTTGCGTACTTGAAGATCACCTCCTATTCTTACCTCTATGGTTCTATGTATCCAACTATTTATAAAGATGGCTCCGTACTGCTCTTGATATTCTTTTGCAGGAAGGATCCAGGTTACACAAGAATGAGTTCAGCACATTCTACAAATGGCAAGCATGAAGATGTAAGTGATTATTGTAATTTTAATGCTTTGTATGAAGTTTTTTAATCATTTTTTATTTTCTGTGGAGTTCCTTTTTTTAATTGAATAATGATATGTGTTTTAATGTCTCTACCAACCAACCAGCTTTTTTGTTGAGCCATATCAAATTCCTAAATATTTTTCACAGTATAGAGGTCTTTCTTCCTTGGTAATTGAGACTTTTTTAACTATTTAACTTTATTTCAACATGATTGAAACATGCAAAGTATCAATCATTTCAACTATTGACTCTTTCTCAGTTCCCATGGTGTTCCCATTCTTCTGATACGACATTTCTATTGGTATGCTGCGATAAGGTTTCTATTTCATTTGATTGGAACTTGGGAAGTTGTCATGTTTTTTCCTTGACTCTGACCATTTGTTGGATTCTCTTTCTCCCTGTTACTAGTCCATTAGTATTTGAACATTAGGGCCGTAACCTGGTGCTGGTCCCACCTAAGCAGGGTCCCGGGAGGGGTAAGCTAGAAACGGTCCCAACCTTTGGTATATGCACAAAGTGGCCGCTCTCAGGACTCGAACTCGCGCTCTTGCGCTGGCTACCCGAGCCTTTTACCATCACATCAAGTGACAGCCCCTAGTATTTGAACATTAACCTATTTATTTCTTGTGTTTTTTGCTTGGAAATTCCTGCAGTAGTGTTTGTTATTTTCTTATGTAGTTACACAATCTAGGATTTTTTTTGTAACAGGCACCCTTGTTAGACCTGAATTTTCACAACTCCACGATCTGGGAAGGAAACTGGTCTCAACTTTGCCCAACCTGCAAAGTAATATACGCTTGCTTGATATAACCATTTTGGTGATGCTCTATTAAAATCTAAGCTTGTACCCACCCTCTCTCTTTATGTCAACAGAATTATATTGCTTTGAGTACGATTATAGCAAGATTCTTGGTAGGATTTAGTCTGTAGTTCTTTTAGCAGATAATAAGGCCCGTCCGCTCCAAACATTGCTCGACTTGCAACCGGTGTGTTGAACAATTTGACCATCATTGCCCGTGGATATCTAATTGTGTTGGGAAGGTGAGCATTTGGGTCTTAAGAATCGCCTTGAAATTCGATCTTTTGTAAAATGTGTACATACATGATTGTGTCTTCTCATAATTATGAAATATGATTGTGCTTTCTCATAATTATGATAGAAATCATATGATGTGAACTTACCATATCTTCTAGTAATGGATTATAGTATATTTATCTTGACCTGTGGCTGTGTCTTTCTCTAACATCTGATATTCACATGCTGTTGACTTAAGTGCAGAGAAATAGGTGGGATTTCTTTGTGTTTGTTTGTCTGGGAACTTTAACATCATCTATTGCAGCTGTTATTACACTCCAGAGTATGTCCACCAAACTACCTTACAGTTGACAATCCAGGGAACTATAAATCACATCTGGTATCAGTTTTATATATTTACGGGCTGATAGATGAATTCATTGTGCAATGTAATAGGGCTATGGAGTAATTTACCATTGCCTTCGTCTGGTGGTGCACAAGCCCATAGCATTGTGGCTCGACATCCAGGTGCTGCAGCATTTCTGGCCATGGACATTCTTGTGTTGTTGGGTGCTACAACTATGACCATAGCACAGGCTTCACAGGTACTGTAACACCCACTATGGTGGTGGTAGTATTTGTCACATTAGTGAGCATGAGAGTAGAAAAACCCTAGAGATGAGTTTTAATTGTACTTCTTGGATGTTGGTACTGAATATGTAACGAAATTCTTCTATCATGAATACTATTTCTCCCTTCATGGCATATCTTACTCTTGCTACAAAATGATGCCTATATCAATTGAAGGGTTTGAGCTGGTGTGTCTTTTAAATGACAAATTATTTAGGCTTTTAACACAAAATGAGGAAATACCCAGTTTGCTGCAGTCGCATGGTCTCTCCAATGCTCCTTATCTTGGATGCGTATCTTGGTGTCTCTCCAAAGGCTAAAAGGATTTCCAAAACCATGCCACGTCTGGATTTTCAAGTCTTGATCTTGTAATACAGTTTCTGACATTTTTGGGTTAATATTGAATATCACATGTATGGTGTTTCTTAGATATAGCTTAAGTAGCATGCTTCTATCCTGACTGGTATATTTGTGACTTCTTTCTTCATGCTCCAGCACTTTTTATTGTTTCGTAGCTTCAAGATGCATGATAAATTATTAGCTCTTTTTTACTTTTTTTGAAATTGGGAACTGTCAAACTATTTGCATGTTATTGTGTCACTCTCTAAGCAATAGATGTATTTCTTGTCCCATGTATGACAACCATTTCTTCATTCCTTTGTCATTCAATTGATCTTGATCTTTATTCTCATCTCGGGAGCAACCTGGATTCTCTTGCCTTCAAATATTGGCATTATTTGCAAATGCTCTTTCCTTGATCTCCACTTAACTATGGTTTCATGCATGTAGATCGCACGCAATATCACAACAAATGAATTGGCAAATGCTAGTCGTTATGCGTATCTTAGAGGACCAGATGGTCGCTTCAGAAACCCGTACAATCATGGATGTTGGAAGAATTGCACTGACTTCCTTATCCATGGATATAATGATGATGAAGTTACCTGGCCATCCTTGCAAGAGGCTACAAGATAGTACTTGCTTTATCGGGGCTACTGATGTATTTGGATTTCACCACGGTGCATTTAGATAAAGAATGAAGCATCAATAAAGGCACTTGAAGCTCGATAATTCTCACCTAGGGATTCATGATTTTGGAAAGCTGCATCGTCAGGCCAAGAAGCCATAGAGGTTGCTGGAAAGAAAGATGATTTGGGAGGAATTGACTTTCTACTGCTATGATACTTCATAGTATATATCGTGGGGTTGATGCTCTCACTTATGGAAGCTTCCTGTTAGAGGAAATTGAAACGGAATCGATGCATAAGGCTCTCTCTCTCCCTCTCTCTCTCTCTCTTGTTCGGCAAGCTATGAAGTTCTCTGAGCTTTTTCTGTGTATAATGCAACAAGCCAAGGCAGTTCTCTTACCTTCTCGTGGTGAACCCTCTAGGGACAGGGTTGAGGCAATGTCACTGTCGCATTTAAGACAATAAGATTTGTGTTTTTTACATCTGCTTGGTGGTTTGTATTAAGAAATGGGTTTTAAATCATTATGACCAACCATATTGGCAGGGTCCGCAATTATCATGTAATGACCAGAATTCAAGAAATGGTGGGAGTTCTTGGAATCACCTGAGACTTTGACCTGGAGGTGCTGGCTGGTTCTTGCAATGTACTCTTTTTGGCATGAAAAAACAGAAGGTTTTCTTAGCATTTTTTTGTTATTTTTTCAAATAATAATCCATTTCTAAACCTAATTTTTATGGATTTTGACACTAACTAAACCCTTGGCCCCAAAAATCATTATTTTGATCAAGAGTTGCATTTGGGTGAAAAAAATTCATTAAAACGTCATTTTTAGCCACAAAAATGCGCATCTATTTTCTTGCAATAAGTCGCAAAATCCTATCCGCTTTTCTTGCAATCTCTCCCTCTCCATTTTTTCCAGTACAACTCAAATTTTAATTCAATATGTTAGCATTGGAGTTCTCTAGCATAACCCTATAATAATTTGTGAGACGAATAACAGAAATAGAAGAGATAAAGAATCCAAATTTCAGGATTTTTTTGAATACGAATTCAAGAATATTTGATCTCTTTTTAGCTTTTCCCATGGAAGCTAACAAATTTTTTTATTCAAAGAAATTACATATCACAGTTGTTAAAGAAATAGTCATTAGGACAATCATACAAAAACAATCACTTCCTAATTATAGATTCTGCAACTTCGATACATTTATTCTCTTAAAAATTGTTTGGCATACTAGCGCTAACATTAGCGATGGAATTTTTCTCTCTATGCATTCTTCAACTCCTTCAAAAGCAAACGTAATGACTTGTAACATTCAGGGCATGTTTGATTTTGGGAAGTTTTTGGAAGTTGGGAGTTGAACATCCCAAAAACTCCTTCCATATTTAAAATTTACATTGTAGAGGGGAAAGCCAAACTTCCATGTGCCACTTTTTAAACGTCAAAATAGGGACGTCTTTGGAAGATTGCCTTCCATAAAAAAAATGATGGAAGCGCGCTCTTCCATTATTTTTAGGAGACTCCCTCCCACTCCCAAACACTTCGTACATGAAACGCATCTTCAAAGAGCCACCTTCCACAATCTTTTTCATATTAAACTCTTTAGCCATGCTAACTCCTTGAAAAGCAGACCTTAATTCCGACTCATTTGCCATTGCAATCCATACCGGTCCTTAATATTCCGTAAGAATAGCCCCATTATGGTCTCTAATAACCCCTCCAATCCCAACCTGCTCTAGATTACTATGAGTATTTACATCAAAATTTAATTTTATCCACCCTTCTAAAGGAGTCTCCCTTACACCAAAAATTTCTCTTGCCCATAGATCTTTCCTTGATTAACTCATTAATATTATATATCTTAGATCACTTCGTGCCACTCTTTACTTATTGATAGCACTCCGCAAATGTAACTCGTATTTTCTCACATAGATCATCTTTCTCTTTATTTGCACTTTCAAAACATCTTCTATTTCTCTCCTTCCACAAATCCAACAAAACCTACCCTCGTATGTTTTCTGTATTAGCCAAACTTTTTCATCATGACCAAGCTATTTTCCACTAAGAGAACACATCCCCAGCCCGCACCGGAACAGTAGTTTGCATGCCTAACAAATCAACAACACATCGCCATATTTATATTACATAATCTCACTGCAAGAATAGATGATTAGCTGTTCTTCATCTTTGTTAACATACATTAGACAGGATTTTACCTCTCTTCCTTAAAACATCTGTTGCCAAAAGCTTGTTCAAGGACAATATTCAAATAAAAGCTCTAACCTTCATGGCTTGATTTCTCTTTCATTGTTTCACTGAAGTCATTAAAATTTCCCTCTAATATTTCCATCGCATTGATCAGCAAAAGTCCCAACAAATCTTTCTAAATCAAAACCAAAAATATCTAAGATTCATTGTTTATTTTTTTGCCCTCTTTTTCTATTATTTTTCTCCCTAAAATATTCTATATATTTGTGCTTCCTAACAGATGAAATCCAATCCTTAATTCCCAGTCTGTGATTATATTTTTCTATATATTGTTGCTTTTCCTTGTATGTTGCTCAAGTGGGGAAGTACCTGATTTAGCTATCCAAGTCGGGTTTTTAAACGCTGACCATGGTAAAGGGTAGAGTAAATAAAAATGGCATTTTTTGAGTAGTGTCAAGGATGTCATTTCGTAAATAAAAGATACAACGAAGTTATAATAGGCTTTATATTTTGGGAAAGGGGAATGATTTATATAACGTTGCAAAGTACAGATGCACATCAAAAATTTATCAGAAAATGTTAGTTTTAATTTTGAAAAAACTTCTAATTGGTCATCTCGACATTAAGATGTATAAATATGGAAGAATAGCGCATCTTGCAATACATTATCTAGACCATCCATTTTCAAGATTTTCATATGTTTGTAGATCTACTTGATTTTAACTATTTTTGGAGTTCAAAATTTTATAATTATATATATAAATAGATTTTGATATAACCCTAATAAGTTTTTTCACCAAAATTACATGTTATGATATAATTTGAAGGTGCGCTTTAATTGGATTGTTTAAGGTTGCAACTTTATAGAAACCAGGCCCTTGGCCTGTTTGGATAGGAGGAATTAGGAATCTTAAATATTTGAAATCCAAAAAAATCTACGGATTTTCAATATTAAGGATTTTTGTCATGGATTCTTCAAATCTCTTGTTTGGATACACTATACAAAATTGATGGATTCCTTGCAATCACTTATATGCCATTGTTTGGTAACAAAACTTGATACAATTTCTCTCTCTAAATTTTTATATACTTTCCTTCTCTAAAACTCAAAATTTGGGAGTGTATCTATAAAAATTTTGAGATAGTTTCTCTCTCTAAAATTTGATATAGTTTGTCTCTCTAAAATTTGATATGGTTTGTCTCTCTACAATTTAATATACTTTCTATCCAAAATTTAAAATTTAAAAATGTCTATCTAAAAATTTGGAGATAATTTCTCTCTCTAAAAATTTTAGGTGCTTTAACTCTCTCTGAATTTTAATATAGTTTCTCTTTATAAAATTTTAAGATACTCTCTCTCTCTCAAATTTAAAACTTGAGATAGTTCCCCTCTTTAATGATTTTGAGATAGTTTCTCTCTCTAAACATTTTTAAGTAGTTTCGCTCTCTAAAATAAGATATAATTTCTCTCTCAAATTTTAAGATATTTTCTCTTTCTAAAAGCTAAAATTTGAGATAATTTTTCTCTAAAAATTTTGCGATAGTTTCTCTCTCTAAAAATTTTTATGTGCTCGCTCTCTAGAATTTGATATAGTTACTCTCTTGAATTTTAAGATGCTTTCTCGCTCTAAAACTTCAAGATTGAGATAGTTTCTCTCTCTAAAATTTTGAAATAGTTTCTCTCTTTAAAATTTGATATAGTGTCTCTCTAAACTTTGATATACTTTCTCTATCCAAAGTTTAAAATTTGAGATACTTTCTCTCTCTAAAACTTAAATTTTACGATAGTTTCTCTCTCTAAAAATTTCATAGGCTTTCTCTATTTAAAGTTGGGTGCAGTTTGTATAAAGCCTAGGCTCTAAACAATCAAATTAGAGCCTACCTTCAAATAATGTCGAGGAATGTGGTTTCAACATTAGAAATCTTTGTAATAGCCTTAAAATATATTTTTATATTTATTTATAAAATTTAAAACTTTAAAAATAGTATAGATCGACAGATCTATAAAAACTTTAAAATCTTAAAGATTGACGACCCAAAAATACGTTACAAAATATACTATTTTCAGAACTTAAAAATCTATTTTTTTCTCATGTCCATGCATCTTGATGTCAAGATGATCGATTTGAAGATATCTGGGCATCAAAACAACCTCTTCCAATGAAATTTTTGAGGTAGGCTCAAATTTGATTGTTTAGAGCCTCGGCTCTATATGAACTTTTCCCTTTAAAATTTCATATAGTTTATCTCTCGAAAATTTTAATATACTTTTTCTCTCTAAAACATAAATTTTGTGATAGTTTCTTTCTCTAAAAATTTTGAGATAGTTTCTCTCTCTAAAAATCTTTAAGTAGTTTCTCTCTCTAAAATTTTAATATATTTTCTCTTTTTAAAATTCAAAATTCGAGATTTTTCTCTCTCTAAAAAATGAGATATTTCTCTCTCTAAAAAAATTTTGGCAGTTTATCTTTCTAAAATTTATAATAGTTTTTCTCTAAAAGTTTAAAAATACTTTCTCTCTCTACAATTTTAATAATATTTTCTCTCTCTACAATTTTAACAAGATTTTTTCTCTCTAAAACTTAATAGTTGATATAGTTTCTCACTCTAAAATTTTTTGCGATAGTTTCTATTCTAAAATTTTTTAGGTACTCTTTCTAAAATTTGATATAGTTTCTCTATCTAAAAATTAAAATATAAGATTGTTTCTCTCTTTAAAAATTTTGAAATAGTTACTATCTTTAAAATTTTGCATATACTTTCTCTCTCTAAAATATGATAGGTTTCTTTCTAAAACTTAAAATTTGATATAGTTTCTCTCTCTAAAATTTTGTTGAAATAGTTTCTTTCTCTAAAAATTTTTGGTACTCTCTCTTTCTAAAAATTTTAACATACTTTCTCTCTTTAAAAGTTAACATCTGTGAGAGTTTTTCACTCTAAAATTTAGATATTCATCTCTCTAAAAAAATTGATACTCTCTTTTTAAAATTTTAAGATATTTCCTCTCACTAAAATTTTAATATGCTTTTTCTCCCTAAAACTTAAAATTTGTAATAGTTTTTTTTAATAGAAAAAAAAATTAACAACCCTAAGGTACTTTTGCGTGTTTGATAAAAGAAAGGCCTTCAGAAACGTGGAACTTACCTAATATGTTCATGTTCTGTGTCAGATAAAAAAATAATAATAATAAGTAGAAATAAAATAAAAATAAAAAAAAAGGAGGAGAGGGATTAAGTAGGGATGTTGAGATCATCTTCCCCTCTTTGCGGGTTTAAAAACAAAAAACAGAGGGTTCAAGTAGGGAACTTCAGTTTACTAATCATCTTCCCCTCTTTGTGGGTTAAAAAAGTTGCGACCAAACCGTCGGAACTTTAAATGGGAAGATTTTATAAA